CCGCCCGCCTCACCGCCCGCCTCACCGCCTCACCGCCCACCGCCCGCCTCACCGCCTGCCTCTCCGCCCGCCTCACCGCCCGCCGCCCGCGCTCACCCCACGCTCCGCGCTGATCCCGGAACCGGCGGCACCGCCGCCGCCGCCGACGCTGTCAACAGACATCGCAGTCCCTCAGCTGATCCGCGGGCGGAGCCATTACGCGCGCCCTGCGATTGGCTGGCGGCGGCGCCCACCGAGAGCGGAGGCTAGAGCGACGGCGGCGGCCGCCTCGAGCGTGGCCTTTGGGCCCGGCGGAGCCTGCGCAGAAAACGGCTGTGCGCGAACTGGCCATCTTTGACGCGGGCCGGGAAGCCTTCCAGTCTCCTGAATCGCGGAAGCAGTGGCGTTGGACGCCATGTCGCGCAGAGGCGAAAGGGACTGGGTCACTTCTGGGATGGACGTCCAACAAGTTCTTATAGCGTCGCCTAAAGTAAGGTGCCGTTTAGATCGATAAGCAGCGGCACACTTGACCTGTGAGAAAGATGTGAATGGAAAGTACGTTTGTATATGTGGGTTCCAAAAATGGGGCTATCTGAGCGCATTGGGCGAGCTCTTGGGAATGACAGCGTCTTTGGTGCCCGTCGGCATGTAAGCCTGGATCAGTCTTGGAGGGCAGGTTTGCTCTATGTTTCCATTGTAAATGTGCATTTTTTTTTTTTTTTTTTTTTTTTTTTTTTTTTTTAGTAGTGCTACTTCTTGGACTCTTATCAGCTTTCCCGTGTGTAGTGTGAAGGATGCTCGAGGATGCGCGCACCGTCCCCTACATCCCCCAGCAAAAAATTACCAAGACAAGAAACTGGACGCAGTAAGGTTCGTCTGTGTTGGGAAATTTCAGGCAGCTCGGAGGGCAAGGCAATACCGGCACTGTTGGAGCACTCCAAAATGGAAGTACTGCAAAAATAGAGCGAGCATCCCAGTTGGTTAAAAAGGATGTGTGCAAATAGAAATATACTTGGAACACTCGTGTCATACTGGCCACTCAGGCCTACATGTGCAGTCCGTTTGCCGACCAAACTAAAGGAGATCATTTACTTTGGAGAAAAGGAAAAAAGCTTTATTCAAAGCCAGATCTGCAGAGATGGAGAAGCCTCATTTGCCTCAAATCACTATTGCATGATGTACAGGTGTGGAAGGGTCTTTTATGGCAAGGAACACAACAAAGAGGGAATACAATGGAATAACAGGCCCACAGGTTTGCTTCATCTCCTTGCTTCGCCCTTTCCCTCTCATTACCCGGTGGAAAAGGAAGGATCTCCTGGGGCCTGCTTTTGAATACAATGCCTACTTATCTGGACAGAGGAGGGGGTGACAATTGTGTCCCAGCGTGAGGAAGTTAAAAGTAGCTTGTCTCCAGAGGAAAATCTGAAACCCCTTTCCTATCTTCTCTATCCCAAAGCTTATCCCTGTAAGTCTGCGCCATTGCTTTAGTTTTTAGCTCCCGTATCACTGCAACAAGTTCCCACAAGTGTCCTATTTCAAAGGGAGTGAGGAGACTAGTTTTCACACGTACAGTTGGACATCCATTAAAGACAGGGAGATGCCTCATAAGCTGATCCACTGTGTGATGGTCACAGAGCATCCCTATGGAGCACACTAGGCCATATGCTGTAGACCCATAGTGGTGAACCTATAGCACATGTGCCCCAGTAGGCTGTTTGTTACAATTACTGAAAGCGCTAAAAGATTTGTCATCACTGCTGTAGAATTATTGCCACTTGGGTACAGACCTATAAGCATTTGTTGTATTGAACACTGAATTATAACATTGTGGTACATACTTGTGTATTTTGTGGGGAACAGGGCCTTCACTGAGCACATTCTCAGCCTAGTTACTTTTGAGACAGGGTCTTACTAAGGTTAGTTGCGCACACTGAGCTTGTACTTACAGTCTTTCCCTCACTGGTATTGTTTTTTTTTAATATTTATTTATTTACTTATTTATTTAGTGTGTGGCCAGCTCAGCCCACCAGGGGGCGGGTGGGCCAGCATGTGGTGCTGGGGATTGAACCGAGGTCTCTGTGCTTTGCTTGAGCTTAGCTTGTTCTAAATAGGTGCCTTAGACCACTGAGCCATCTCACCAGCCCCCCTCACTGGTATTATAGGAGGGCTTAGTTAATTCTTTCAACTAAATGTTTTGTGTTAGTCCCTCCAATATTTTTGTTTCATCTTTCCTCACTTCTTTTAAATCATTTTATCACTCAGGCTCATGACTATATCTCTGCAGTATTTTATGTTAAATCACTAATATTGGAGCAAAGGGGAAAATGGAGCATTTCTTCTACTTTCTAGTAGAAATTCTGTTTCAGAAATAACAAATGATACCAGCTGAGGGAATGGTCTTTATAGAAGAATGCCAACTACTAAATGTAGAAGAAATTACAGAATGAGAATAGTCAATTTTCTACTCCATGAAACTATTGATTTATATACACACAAAAATGTTAGGTGAAAAGATTAAGGGGAACTAGATATATAGTAAATGCTGTATTAGCACTCCACAGTTACTTCCTGGTTTTTTTTTTTTTTTCTTTTCAAAGTTTTATTGATAAACATATAGCAATGAGACAGTTTCAAATCAAATCGAAAGTACAGTTCCAACAAATAATACACTGC